CTACACACATTCATACAACACACTACTACACACATGTTCATACAGCATTCTACTACACATACATTTATACAGCACTCTACTAACAACAAATCAAAAAAGCACTCTACTACACACACATTCACACAGCACTCTACTACACAAACATTCATATAACACTCTACTACATACACATTCATACAACACTCTACTACACACACATTTATACAACACTCTACTACATACACATTCATTTAGCACTCCACTACACACATTCATACAACACTCTACTACACACATGTTCATACAGCATTCTACTACACACTAGGGCATTAACAGAGTACTCGAGTAATCTACACATCGATTGCTAGGACCTCTATCAAGGTTAAAAATGTAATGTCGAGTAACCGTAGTGACGTCATATTATGTGACCACCGTATGACCGTAGGGGGCGGTGTTGCACTGTTGCAGGTCACAGAGTTCAGTGTAACACCGGGTCCAATCCACCGCCCATCCACTGTTTTAAGTTTCGTTTCTGATGTGCTGCACATTTCTTCACGTTTGCAGTTTAATAATAATAACTAATAGTTTAGTTTTTCCTGTGACTTATTTGTAGTATGATAAATGGTAGGAGCATAATATACACTCCCAATGTTTTGTTGGTCATTTTTTTGTAAATAATTACCTTTTATTTCGGTTTTATTTATTTATTTATTTTTGTATCTTGAGATCTATGACGTCATCAAATACTCGAGTTCTACTCGGGTTTTTATTATGTTAATGTCGAGTTTAAAAATTATATACTCGTTCAACCTCTACTACACACACACATTTATACAACACTCTACTACGTACACATCCATACAGCACTCTACTACACATACATTCACACAGCACTCTACTACACACACATTCAAACAGCACTCTACTACACAAACATTCATATAACACTCTACTACATACACATTCATACAACACTCTACTACATACTAGGGGTTGAACGAGTATATAATTTTTAAATTCGACATTAAAATAATAAAACCCGAGTAGAACTCGAGTATTTGATGACGTCATAGATCTCATTATACAAAAATAAATAAATAAATAAAATCGCAAAAAAAGGTAATTATTTACAAAAAAGACCAACAAAACATTGGGAACGTATATTATGCTCCTACCATTTATCATACTGCAAATAAGTCACAGGAAAAACTAAACCATTAGTCATTATTATTAAACTGCAAACATGAAGAAACATGCAGCACGCCAAAAACGAAACTTAAACCGAAACTGGTTCGGTGGATAGGACCCGGTGTTACACCATACTCTGTGACCTGCAACAGTGCAACACCGCCCCCTACGGTCATACGTGGTCACATAATATGACGTCACTACGGATACCCGATTTTACATTTTGAACATCGATAGATACCATACCATACCTTACCACTTTATTTATAAAGCACTTAAAACAGCAACAAGGCCAACCAAAGTGTTGTACAGACAAAACAACAGGTAACACACAAAGAAAAATACAAAATGAGGTAAATCAGAAAATAGACAAAAACGATGCAGATAAGGACGACAAACCAGTGTAGAGCATACAGGATCAAAACACAGATCATCTTGTGTTGAAAGCTATTGAATAGTAGTGAGTTTTTAAACGAGACTTGAAAACCGAGAGGGAGGGGGCCTGTCTGACAAGCAGAGGTAACTCGTTCCAGAGTCTTGGTCCTGCTACAGAGAAGGTCCTGTCACCTCTGCGCTTAAGACAAGTTCCTGGAACTGTGAGGAGCAACTGGTCTGCTGACCTCAGGGAACATGGTGGGACATACGGTTGTAGCAAATCAGAGAGATGGGGGGGGCGACACTGTTCAGTGATTTGTAGACATACATGA